TAAAGACATCCAGGTAAATCTTTTCCTTTTTGTTATCTATCTATCAATCTATCTTTTAAAAGTTATGTATTTAAAGCTACCTCCAGCAGAAAAAGAAGTTCGTAGTTTTCCGCTACGTCACACTAGTTATAAAATCTGCTGAATCACACTTAATAATCTACGTTGCTCCAAGGTTCACTAAGAAAACCAACATGTTATGAATATGTAAAAAGATATAATTTCCGCGTGCATACGTGCGCAATCAATAAACACGTCCTGTAAAGGTATGAGCCACTGAAATTGTTAGGTAAAATATTTTACAAGAGTTCCAAAATTGCTAGCAGCACAGCCCGAAAGATTTATTAAGCTTCTTTTTCTGCTGAAGCTAGACAATGATAAATAACTAATTAATCATTAATCACATAATTATGTAAAACTATTTTTATATAATTATGCAGATTAATAAATTTTATAACAATAATAAATTATTTGTTAAAAATTATTTTAACAAATAATCGGTGGTAACTGTAAGCTTGGAAAAAATTAAGACGATAATTTTTCACAGCGTTCCTGTTCATAGGTGAGTAAAATTGACTTAGAAATATAAAAATATTGGTACTTCCCATTTAATTAATAATCAATATTGATATATCCGATATATAATGTGTGAACCATTGATTTGTAGGATCGTGTAAGAAAAGAAATTTCTAACGTGATGCAGGAAAATGATGGAAAGCTTACTATGAAGGCATTACAGAGTATGCCATACTTGGAGATGTGTTTGAAAGAGTCGATGAGAATGTATCCTAGTGTTCCTCTTATATCGCGTGAATGTTCCGAAGATGTAAAGTTACGTGAGTAATTAATAGACATCTCTATATATAACATTATTCTTCGGGCAGTTCAAGCATGGAACTGCGATGAAATACAAATAGATATGAAATCAACAGAGTGTATTTTAATGCTTCCCATAAAATAAACAAGAAAACTTATATAATCATATTTAAATTATTTATGTATATTTATAATAATATATTATAATATTTTGTGAAGTTGTAAATATTTTCAACTCGCTCAACTACATTCATTACTCCACGTGTATGGAGAATATGCATAAGTGTACAATAAATTAATTATGCATATGTACATATATATTTATTGTTAAACTTTCTATTGCTGTATATAAGACATACTTTATTAGGTTCATTGGTATTTTCAGATTCATATTTGGTGCCAAAAGGCACAACGCTACATCTCCTTATCTATGATCTTCATCATGATCCTAAGATTTGGCCGGATCCGGAGGTATTTAATCCAGACAGATTTTTACTAGAGAATATAAGGAATCGTCATCATTATTCCTATTTACCATTCAGCGCGGGACCACGAAATTGCATTGGTAATTTAAAAGATATTAATTTCTTATTCCGGAAATATATTTTAATGGAATTACAATCTATAGGTCAACGATTCGCTCTGTTGGAGTTAAAAGCTCTGATAGCTCCTCTGGTGTACAATTTCTACTTAGAGCCCATTGATTATTTGAAGGATATCCGACTGAAGCTGGATTTTGTACTGCGTGCTGTACGTCCGATTCGCATGAAAGTCATTCCGATCAAACGTGCATAATAATTTAATGTAAATACTGATTGGGAAGAAATAATCGATCTGATTCTAATTATATATTAAATAATATCTGAGAAACTGTTAACGTCATTAGATGCGTCGCAGTGGGTCGTGAGTGCGAACGTTATTTCACAAGAAAAAAATTTTGATGTAAGGAAGTTTGTTAAAAAATATCATGTTTAAATTCGTATCAAATAATGACATAATATTATTATCTTGAAATCGAATGTTGTAACTAATCTACAATATTAGATTTTATAGGATTTTATACAGGATCTTCCAATCTTTAGAATCTTTAAAAAGATCTTTAAAAAGTTTAATTTCAAATTTCGCGACGTTTTTTTACTGTCAGAAATGGAGTTGTCATATTTGTCAACTGTCAGGTAAAAACTATGCGGTCAATAACAATGGATCGATATTCGCTTGAGCAATGCGTGGAAATAAAAGTTATTACAAATATGATACAAATTTACGGTGATACTTCGCAAAATCCTTACCAATATCGGTCGCAAAGGAACGCATTTTCGTCCAGCAAATATGTGTTTAATCGATAAATTTGAACGCCTCGGTCACATTAGTAATGTTAAAAACCCAACCTTTGCTCAGTTAGCCAGATCAACTGAAAACATTGCTGCGGTGTCCGAAAGTATTGCGGAAAATCCAGGTGTCTATTGCACGATGTTCGCAGCAGTTGGGCATTTCTCAAACCAGCCTGTACCGTATTTTGCACAAAGATGTAGAAAGATTTTAGCAGGATGGGGCTACGTACCATAAGCCATGAAATGATCGCGTTATTAGGTGAGAAGTTTTCTGTTCGTGTCATTTCGCCTAACGGAGTCTTCAACTGGCCTAGATCGTGCGATTTGACACCGCTCGGCTTCTTTTAGGATTATGTTAAGGATAAGATTTACACAAATGCTCCGCAAACGATTCAAGCGCTCAAAGACAATATGCGAACCGTTTCTGGCAAAATTGAATCGCATTTGTGCGAAAACATGATGAAAAATTTCCTCAAAAGAATGACCATTTGCGAGAAAAGTCGAGACGGTCATTTGGCTGATGTGGTGTTACACGTTTAATCGTACAATCTGTACTTTAGA